GAAACTCCACCCCTAAGGGGGTAAAACGGGATCCACGCGTACGAAGTCGCGGGCGGCCGTTAGTACCTTATAAAGTCTAAAGTCCCATACAACAGCCACAAAAAGACTTCCAGAGGTAAAGACGGGCGCTGATTTTCACAATCCTACTAATATTATAAATACGAAAGTTAGGGTGTCTGGATGTTTGGATGTCTGGATGTTTGTTACTCTTTCACGCAAAAACTACTGAACGGATTTTGTTGAAACTTTACAGTATTATTGTTTTTAACCCAGATGAACATATTATAGGCTATAATTTATGCCGATTTGTGACACTAAATTACACGCGTGTGAAGCCGCGGGTAAAAGCTAGTAGCAATTAAAGTAGACATAGAGGGAGAAAGAGAGATAAAAAGACAGAGTTGCAATATCTTTAGGAAACCTGGTTATAAGTATTTCTTTCGTGAATACATTATTGAAGTGATATATTTGTGAGTTTGTCCAGTGGTAACGCAGTTATGTTATTTATTATTATTAGCTCACTTATTAATAATACTGTATGATCCTCGGCATAATATTGGAAGCAAACCCCAAAAGTTATAATAATAAACTGAAGTTTGCGTTGTTTTTATAAACTAAGTAAGAGTATGTAGTTAGGTATTTAACAATTATTTGGCTCTGGATTTAGAATACTTATTCAGATTCCAAGTAATACTTTGAAAACAGAAGCTTGTGTACAGTTATTTATGTTAAGTAGGTATTAGAAGGCTAAAGAATTGATCCACAGACAGCTTGATAAAAGCTTATCGCGGCGCGCATCCTAGGCCTACAGACTGGTCAGCTAGTTTAAAATAAAATAAGTCGGGTAAGAATTCTTTTATAAAAATGTCTGGTACGAATCTAAATTATATAACTCAAAGGTGACTGACATAGTGATCTATCAACGCACAGCCCAAACCACTGGACGGATCGGGCTGAAATTTGGCATGCAGGAAGATGTTATTACAGCATCCGATAAGAAAGGATTTTCGAAAGTCTACGGGGTAAAACGGGATTCACGCGTACGAAGTGGCGGGCGGCCGCTAGTTCTTTTATAAAAAAAAATAGATAAGAAATATTGCACTACAGATGCATAACAAATGGTACACAATATCGTGCCTTTAAGATCTTAGACTCAGATTATCTAGCTTATCATTACTGAAATACTATATTATTAGCCGTGACGTGTCATTACTCATGTCATGTACATATGTCATAGTTGTCACAAACATTAACGAGAAACGAGCGGTTAATCATATGTTAATTTCCTGGTTTAAATCATCAGGTATTGTTTGAAGAAGTCTGACTGAGTTGATAAAGTTGTGATTGGCTGAAATCGCTGAAATATTAGTCTGTTTTATTGAGGATAATAGGTACTACTGATTATAGTATGACATGGCTACATACTTACTCGTAAACATGACATAAGTAAAATGTACACACTGACGTAGGGTGAATTAAGTAACAACAAAAGCCCAATAACCCAGTATTAATAGTAGTGCCCTTCTGTAAATGTCATAGTGTCCCACAGACACTTCAATGTCGTATAACTATATTTGATTGACCGCGGGAGACACCGATATTATTGTAGAGATGGTAGAGATATGGATATCTTTTGCCACTGAAAGTTAATTTTTGAACCATTTATCAGCGTTACGATTGTCACGTAAATGTTATTTTGATTATGATCGAAAACTCTCTTAAAACTCTCTTGACTTATCAGCTGCACGATTGATGTCTGGAATGCTTTGGATAAATCATAACCTTTGCAAATGAAAACTTTTTTAGACTCTTGGATTTGAAAAACAAAAGTAAAGCACCGATTATCATCATCATTTCAGTCACAAGACTTCCACAGCTGATCATAGGCCTCCCCCAATGATTTCCACATCGCCCGGTTGGTAGCGGCCTGCATCTACCACCTTCCTGCTACCTTTATAAGGTCGTCGGTCCACTTTGTGGGTGCACGTCCCACGCTGTGCCACGTGTTCCGGTACGTGGCCTCCACTCTAATAAATATGAAAAAAATCCGTAGCCAAACGAACTCGCATGAACGTAACTCCTTCTTTTTATTGAATTTTATATAAAAAAGAAATGAATTTTATTCTTATTTTATAAACAAACATGTTGTTGAGCCTCCACAAGGTTGACAAAAACTTAAAGGTCCTTGCTAGTTTCCGAGGTCGAGGTAATCATATCTTAACTAAATAATAGTTACATTGTTTTTCTTAGATTAGAACTTGAAAAAGGAAAAATATCTTCTTCTTGACCCTGGCCGTTTTCCCCATTATTTGGGGTTGGCTCTCCTTCTGAGGTTCTAGGACAGTCTGTCCTAGGTTGTCGAAATATTTGTTTGAGCACGCTCTAAGTCCTTGGCCACCGTGGACCACCAGGTGGCCAGTGGACGTCCTCTACCTTTCCTATTATTTGGCAGTGAAAATGGAAAAATATATTTTTCCATATTCAGCTAAACGCAAATGATGCACTTGACAAACTATACGAGATCAAATCAGAAATGAGGAGATCCGTAAACGAACTAAAATCACTGACATAGCCCGCTGGATTAGCAAGCTGAAGAGGCAATGGGCAGGGCACATAGTACGCAGAACTGACGGCCGATGGGGCAGCAATGTTCTAGAGTGGAGGTCACGTACCGGAAAACGCAAGGTGGACGAACGACCTGATAAGGGTAGCAGGAAGGCGTTGGATGCAGGCCGCTACCAACCGTGCGATGTGGAAGTAATTGGGGGAAGCCTATGGTCAGCAGTGGACGTCCTGTGGCTGAAATGATAATGATGATGATGATGAAATGATGCAAAGCAGTATCGATGGCCCTAAATCTAAATTATATGTAGCATATTGTACTGCTAGAATCAAGTTGCATAATTGAGGTACCTGCAATACCTCCAGTAATGTAAGTCGATCCGTTCCAAGAGCTATTTCTCTTGACGATAAGAAATGTTTTTCTGATAACAGCGATAACCTACATAAGCTTACTATGATGGAGGCTAGTTAAACTAGCAGTTTAATTGCCTGTACTTAATTTGAAATGTAGAGGCATATAATTTGCATATTTATTTACAAAACAAATCCTGATGATTATGAAATAGTGTTAAGATATCGTTAGCGTATTCATATTGTGCATGTATCAACCTATAATATTTAATTTAACTTGTGTAAATAAAGTCTAAATAAAGGTGTATTAAGGGCTTAAAATTATATACCTGAATGAATATTAAAAAAGCCATATATGTTCAACAAGCTTTTTCATTTCGCAATTAAGTTCAATGCATTATTTTTACGAGAATAAGCTTTATTTGGTAAGTACTTTCAATAAAAATAAGGACATGTTACCGTTATTTTTAAGATTATTAAGCAATTATACAAGATTCTAATTTATTGTTTATTATTTTTTGTAAAATATCTGCCTAATTTGTATTGATCGCTTTTATATCAAATAGGGTTTCTGATTTCTCGACTTATTTTTTTTCTCGAGTTTCGGGAATTCTCGAGGCCAAAGTCTCGAGTTTTCTCGGGTCTCGAGTCTTTTAATTAAAACTGTTGAAATCGGTTGAAGTTTAATAAAAACACGGGTTTTTATTAATGTTATAATGTGTCTGGGTTATAATCAATAATACCGTAAAGTTTCAACAAAATCCGTTCAGTAGTTTTTGCGTGAAAGAGTAACAGACATCCACACAAACTTTCGCATTTATAATATTAGTAGGATAATAATTATAACTTAGTAAATAACTAAAGGAACTAAAGTCATTAAGTCGCGTGTACTTTAAGGATTAATAACCATAAATATCTGGAGCTCCAATTGAATCACTTGTTTTCCAAAGAACACAAGTCCAAATTAATTGAAAAACTACGATAATAAACGTACATTTACAAACCAAAAAAAAACTTTTAATTAATTTTTAAACTTAAAGATAACGACTTGAATAAACGTATTTTAAGAGTACCTAAACTAACAGATAGTTAACAAAAAAAAATCAGTCTTTAAATCAGTCAGTTATACAAACACAATGAAATATAGCATACTCGTAGGTGAACATTATTATCATTACTTGCAAATCAAATTAGTTAAAAAAAGGAAAGACTAGGCCAGTCTAAACGCAACGTTAACCTATTAAATAATTAAAAACTTACTTTTGTCTAAGAAAATAGGCTTTCAAGAATATTAAAGCTTCAAATTCGAAACTCGAGAATTCTCGAGCTTCGGTAATTTTTTTCTCGTCTCGAATGAAGCCAAATTTCTCGAGTTTTCTCGAGTTCGAGAAAGCTCGAGCAGAAACCCTAATATCAAATCACGCTTGCCAGTTAAATCCCCATGGATTAAAACTGGATTACTACGTGATTAATGGATTTGATCAGATTTAATATTTTGTAATATTTAGGCTACTTGTTATGTGTTACGAAATTCTACACGCAGTAATTACATTTTAGTAATTAAAAATAGTGTGAAATTATTTTTAGAGCCAGCTCTGTTCGTATTTTTTTATATTATGCATAAATGCATAAAGACATATTAGAGCACGTGGTTAAGAGAGAGTTTCATAATTGAACTCTTATCCCAACGTTCCGCCTATTCCGAATTGTGATGTGAGACCCATAACTTCAAGTTAACATTATTTAAAGTCTTAGGTAAGTTATTTAATGACTTGAAATAAATAAAAACGTTTTTTTTGTGAAATACTTAATAATGTGCATTTATCACAAAAGAAATGCTCCTGCATTTCACAAATGCACATTTTGTGAAGTGCACATTCTGCGTCAGACCTATGTGTCGTACTGAAATGCAACTTGAATCTTCAAAACAATTACAAATACAGCCTGATTCAGCCAATCCTTATCGCAACCAGAGCCTTAGCATACCCCCGTCTATTTGACCACTCGTCTATCGCATCACGTCAAGTGTGAAACAATAAAGCTGAGTCGCTTTATCGTTTTTAACTCATATCTTATCACTTGATAGCAGCAGGCTTGCTCACGCGCAGTCTTCACGCCAGTGTAATATTTGGCCATCAATCGACAATAGTTTTTTAGGTTTTGTGCATAGACAAGTTCCTTTTTCTCGTAAAAGACGTAGGTGAGTGGATTTTAACTGATTTTTGGTTCAAATTAGGTCAAAATATTCGTTTTTGTGAGGTGAATTACTTGAATTTGTGCAGTGTGATTATTTATCTATGTTTGTTTTGTCAATTGATTGGGGTTATGAATGAAATAAGATTAATGTGTATAAATAATGTTGACAAAACTGGATTCGAATTTTTAAATCTGTGTATTTTACAAAATCATTTGTGTTAAGTATGTGGATTATTATCGCGTTAAATAAATTTAGTTAATGCATTTTCAGTGAAAAATATGAAAGTTTTGCTACCTTAGTTTTGAAGTATTTTTCATAGACAAAACTTTTTAAATCTTTTGTTTAAAAGCTTTTCTGATATTGTTTTACCGCAATTTTTGGATCAGAAATCCTTGTAGTGGTCATAGTACTTTTGCTTATTGCACCAACTGTACGCAAGAGTCCTAACTTACTATTTAAACTTGCAAAGCTTTTAGCTAAAGTTCACTGTCTAAATTATTTCATCCTGAGTTTTCCCCTAAAAATGATGTGAGCACCGCGGTCGTTTTATTTAGTGGGTTTGCCTTGTCCTTTTGACTTTATGAGCCCCACATAACCTATCCTGCAGGGTAGGTACCTATGCAATTTCATGCATTTTTTCCCGACAAAAAAAGGTAATTTGTACATACTTCGATTACGGTTAAATTAAAACGATTAACTCCATTTTTGATAATGTAGAGCTTATTATTCATTTATTGTTATCGTTACTATGTGCATATAGGGTTTTAATGTTATCTACTTGCTATTCAATAACTTACTGTAGCTAGCGTTAACAGAGAGTATTTGTTTAATTAATTATATCAGATTGTTCATTTAATAGATTTATATTCTTACGCCATACAAGTAATTTAATGAAATAATAATACAATAACTAGTTTGAAAGCGACTTAATTCAAAACTTCCCATATTTAAAAAAAAGAAAATTTTCAGTTGCATTGAATTGATGAAAAGATTTGCAATGAGTTGGTAAAATGTCATTGGAGAATCCCCATTTGATGAAAGCGAGAGAAAAAACGGAAATGGGTAGCTGGAACTGTGGCCCACTGTAGTAATGAATTACTTAATATTTCATTGCGAAACCTTTTCCTTTTATTAACGCCCGCTCAATTCTAATTCAGTATCACATCCTCGATCAATAAATTATCGAAGTTTAATATCCATCGATGGATATCTAAGTACTTTATCAGGTCATATCGAGACTTTGATCTTACTGGTATCACTGTGGGTAGGTAGGACTTATATCTGGGTAAGATCTACGATGAATTGTACACTGATAATAGAATTATGCGAAATTTTGTGCTATTCCTGCAAAATTTTGTAGTGATTAAAGTCACCTGGATTTGATCGCTCAGATAATTATTATTACTGACGGGATTACTACCATGTACCTTATTTTTTAGTTTCCGATATTTCGGCACTGTTGCAAGCACCATGGTCACGGAGTAACTGAGGAAAACTTGCCGGTGAGATGTTATGGGCAGAAATAATAATAATTATGATAGTGACCATGAAAGTTTAAAACAATATAATATCGCTCAGATGATCAAAGTGGACTCCAGCCGACATTTTTGTGTCTTTTGATCACCCATGGATAAAAGTCCTTGCCAGGAGTCCACTTTGATCACCTAGTTGATCAAATCTAGGTGATCAAAGTGGAATACATCTCTTTATTATTGTAAAGAATGACAACTTAACTCCTATCCCGAGTATTGAAGGATTTTATATCATGTAGAGTTATTCGTAGAATGCATCTCATAGCTTACAAGATAAGTTGAAAATACTTGAGAGAGCCAATTAGCTATCAGTAAGCAAATATTTATTTCAAGGGGACTATCGCCTAAATTCAAAGTTCATTCATTGGTTGGGTTTTATTTGTGATCAATAATAACACTTAGAGCAATCAAAGGACTTAATCTACAGTTGACTTTAAATCGATTCTCAGGACTTTCAAATTAGAAATTTTGATCAGGACGTCAGTAGTGTGTTCGCAAGACCGCATTAAATTCTTGGTGATTGTCATTTTTATTCCAACGCAGTTCTCATACAATTTTCCGTGTGCCAACTTCTTAGTTGAAAGCTCCTTTAATCAAGATCTTACTAAGTGATGATCTTCGGCTTATATTTTAACCGTGGCTATAACCATAACCGGTGTTTTTGTATGGAGTGTGACAGACTTTTGACGTTTGTTCAAAATAAGATGGGGCAAGCCTAAGGCTGTGTTGCAACATCTTACTTTAACTTTGAAAAACGGCTAAAATCTGTCAAACTTCATACAAAAACACCGGATAACGTCAAAGTTACGGTTATAGTTAGGTGGTGCAACCCAGCCTTAACTTATACTTGTTTTAGTGGCGGCCGCAAGATGCTGGTGGCGACCTTCAACACGCTGACGCCTCGAATGAGGTTCAGCTATAAGAAGCCGATCATCGAGAACTTCGCGTTCAAGCTGCACTACCAGATGACGGTCACCATGCTCCTCGCCTTCGTCATCCTGGTCTGCGCCAGGGAATACTTTGGGGACCACATCAGGTGCCTGTCGGATCAGGGAGTGCCGCCCAATGTGATTCAGACTTACTGCTTCTTCATGGCTACGTTTACGATTGTAAGTGTTCTTACGAGTACTAATAGTGTAACTTAGAGGCGTGAGGAAGCGCTAGAGTGGTGTCACTGTGGTGCGTTTTCCGCCCACTGCTAGTTTTCTTACAATTTCTCAAGCGCAATTGTAGCGCCACTCTAATTTGAAGGCACCCTTAATAGTCTGATGCCCATTTTCACCATCAATCCCTAATTTTTAAGTGACCCCAATGGTAACACCTTATATGAATGAATTTTATTTCATAAGGTTTATTTAAAAACTAGGGATTGATGGTGAAAACGGGCATAAATGTTGATAAATAAAAATAAAACAGATTAAATATGAAACTGGCAAATAAATTAAGTGTTAGTTGCTACGAGAATCACCTATGAATAATAGCAGTGTTTATTGAAATAAAAATTAATTACAATTACCTATTATTGTGGTTTCACCACTGCATAAATCATTTTGAAATTAACAGTCAGTCTGAGTATTATCAGTTAATTATATTATTTATATAAATATTGCAACATTAATTTAATATTTAACGGTATTAATTAATGTCATAATTATCCCAACGTAATCGTGCACCCGGATTGATAAATGTTTGTTTCCTTATTTATTACACTATTTTACGAAAGTAACTATGTACGAATAATAAAATATAAAAGCACTAAAAGATAAATTAAGAAGATAAAGATAGAAATATGAGATACTAATCCTCCATTAATCGTTTTGAAGAGGGTGAAACGTAACAGGTATTAACAAGAGCCGTCTGCAGTCCAAAAGTCACTTTTAATTATGCCCCCTATAAAGCTATAGCCTCTATAGTGGCAACTAATATGGGTAGGTAACTGTCCTGGCCACTAGTTGCGGCATTGCAACTAGAATCTGCTGCAGTTTGGGCGCTAAGTGCGTGTTCTTTAGAAAACTATGTTACGTCAAATAAATAAGTATGCCTTTGTTAGGTGTCATCATCATCATCATCATTTCAGCCATAGGACGTCCACTGCTGAACATAGGCCTCCCCCAATGCTTTCCATGTTGATCGATTGGTAGCGGCCTGCGTCCAGCGCTTCCCCGCTATCTTTACGATGTCGTCGGTCCACCTTGTAGGTGGACGTCCCACGCTACGCTTTCCGTGCGTTTGTTAGGTGTAGGTTCATCATCAATAGTCCATCGGACGAGGTTCGAACCAGCGTATTTTAACTAAAACTTCCTCGATTTTTGTTAAGATTGAAGCAAGGATCACACAATCCACATGCACATTCGGATTTCGAGTCGGCCAGTCTGACACCCGTACTGTTGTATTACGTCATTGCCTTTACAACACATCTGTAACTCTTCTATAACACCAGGTGCGGCATTACAACGAGAGCCTGCTGCAGTCTGGGTTCCTTCCACACCCAGGAGTGGGGCCCATGTCAGGCGACGATAAGATCCTGCACCACACCTACTACCAGTGGGTTCCGTTCGTGCTGTTCATCCAGTCGATATGCTTCTACATGCCGCATTATATTTGGAAGAAGAAGGAAGGTTCGTCTTCTTTTCACTAAATTGACGTAATAATCTGTTTTTGATAATTTGTAAATATTATCAGTGGCCAATTCGATGTAAAGGACGCCTATGGAGTTCAGCATGGGACTCTTTCGATTCTGGTTCGAATCTTAGAAGGTAAAACCACTGTATTACCTAAACATGTTTAAGCTAACTAATTAGCTACTAGTTGTGTAGGTAGATATTTAAAATAAATACTCATTTAAAAATATAGAGCCACTTCAAAATTTTACAAATGTGTACTGTAGTTTAAAGGCATTTATCTTATCTGGCTGTTGGCTTGAAATAATGCAGATAACCCGGCCATAGCATGCATTAAGGTTATGCACTCGCAATAAAGATAACAATGATCATCTGTCAGTCTGTGTGCTACAGCAGTTACAGTACTTATCAAATGAGAGCCAATTAAATAAACAAAAATTGAGATAACTTTTCAATTTAACACAGGAAAATGAATCGTGCATAATTAATTATGTTAAAAAATCCATCTTTGTTTCTTAACAGGTGGACGAATAAAGGCTCTAGTAGATGGACTGCAGTTTGCAGCTTTGGCTCTTGAGCAAGAGTCGGACATCACTGTGCAAGGACAGACTGTGCCATCAAAGGCTACTCTTGACAACAAAATCAACGTGATTAGGAAGGATATTTTACTGAGGTGAGTGTAAAATGTGACCCGTTATAACGTTCGCGTTATAGAGTTCATGTGTCTTCAATACCCAATATATGTACAGAAACTCCGAGAACTTCTTTGACATCTTTCGGGTCACATTCCTGAAGACTTCGTCTCGACAAACGTAGTGCGTCTTCTCCTCTGCTCAATGGACCGATGACTTCAAGAAGATAGCTGGCAATAGTTAAATGTTAAGAAGGAAATGGTGCTGAGGCTTTGTGTCCAGATTGTCCAACATTGAACAGAGTAATTAGCTATCAGAAGCCATGCAGAATTTGTGATGACATTATCTTCTTCTTCTTCGTCGTGATCGTCACACCTCGATTGGTGGCAAGCTTTACAATCCGTCGCCATTCCTCCTGCATCGCAGCCTTTCTTGTGCACTCGTGGAGTTGAGTTTTTGAGTGCGGATGGCATTATAACTGGCAAAAAATACGCACTCCTGAATAGCAAATATTTTCAGATTAAGGATAACCCGCACCTGGTCCACGTGGCTGGTGGCGATGGAGATCACCAACATGCTGCACGTCATGTTCCAGATCTGGATCATCAACGTGTTCCTCAACGGGCACTTCATGGACCTCGGGCCTAGGGTGCTGCAGTTCAAGCGGTGGGACGATATTGCTGACCCGTTGGAGACTGTATTCCCGAAGGTTTGACTTTTCTACGGTATTGAATATCTACAGTAGAAGAAGTATTTTTTATAGCAAAATCGACCCTATACGAGTATTTACATAAGATGCTACAATATTTAATTTTAGCTTGATTGATATGCAGTCCGTTAGGCGTCAATTCCTTTATTAATTGATGCTGATGTGAAAAGCATAGTTAACACTATTCTAATGCTTAAAACGTTCATGATATTATTATATGGACGTAAAAATATTTGCTTTATTGTTCTTAAAATGGTTATAAAACAAGTTGAACAGATTTTCATACTAATTTAATGATTTAACTAGAAGGGCAGAAAAGTCCCAATCATAGCTATGTTTTGGGCACTTCTTCGAAATCGCATTCTTCGGCTGATTCATATGGACAAATTTCAAATTCAATTTTAGGTTTGTAACATAGACTCATATGAAAATAGGTACACCCAATAACATATATTTGGATAAGGGACTCGTTTTTGTAAAGTAGTTTTCAAGATATCGACGTTCAAATATTTTGTGCCCATATGAATCAGAATTTGTTACATATTAATCAAAAACAGAAATAAAATTTATGATATTTATGTACAATTGGCTCTAAATTAAGAAAATAATCTTATTATAACAAAAACAATGATCTGTTGTTATGAAAAAATGCAACGATTCCACAATAATTCATAAAAAAACATTTTTTTGAAACTTTAGTATACCATCCATAATATTTTGTCATCATCATAATAATTTCAACTGAACATAAGCCTCTCCCAATGATTTCCATAATGACCGGTTGGTAGCGGCCTGCATCCTGCGCCTTCCTGTGGGAGGAGGTTCTACACTGAGCTTTCCGGCACGTAGCTTCCACTCCAGAAACGTGCTATCCCATCAGCCATCATTTCTGTATACTATGTGTCCTGCCCATTATCACTTCAGCTTGCTAAAACATCGGACTATGCCACCATGCGACTTTAGATCGTTTACGGATCTCCTCATTACAGATTCGATTGCATAAAAAAACAAGCATAGTCCACTCCATAGTACACTATGCAACTTTGTGGTTCGTAAGCCTACAGTGAGAGGCCGCTTTTCAGTACAATTTGTCATCACTGATAAACACACACTGGATGTAGACCTTTATCTTATGGCACTAAGGTATTTTAGATGACTCTACTGAGCTGTATCACTTATCCAAGCTATTGTTGTTAAGACGTCCACCTACAAGGTGAAGAAGGTGAGATGAGCTTATAGAGGTTGTAGCAATGGCAATCAGTTAATCTCGAAATCATTGGAGGCCTATGCTCAGCAGTATATTATTATGTGCTATGGACGCCATAAGTGTAGCTGAAATAATAATAAAAGTAAATAAATCGTTGGGCAATTTCATACAGCGCCATTTAGCTACAAAATAAGCAACGAATTTGCTTGTGTTATGGTTGCTAGCTTAACGGATATACTACTTATTTACACTTAAGACTTGTTACTACTTAAGACCTCTAATATGGCAATTGTACGGGCGGGAGGCAGTGGTTGTAAGGCACCGCTCCCGTGCCCGGGATATGCGGTCAGGAAGGGAACTAACTCCCTAGTGAGCCTAGAGTCCCTATTCCCTAAGACACTAAGTCCCTAGAGCCCTAGCCCTGCCTAACAATAAATACTTAGACATAATAAGGTGTGATAGGAAGGAAGCTGTGCCCAGGTCGCCCAGGGCAGCAGCGTTAGGACGGCAGGTAGGCGGCGGGGACCCGCTGCCAGCCCGGCAGACTCACCGGACTGATCATAGCGACGGCTAAGGGTGTCTTGGCCGCAGCGGGGGGAAATGAGACACAACGACGGACGGTTGATATCTGGTTTATTAGTATTATGTTATGCTATTTATACATGGTTTATTGTTTGTACACATTTAAAGGTATTTGTTAGTGTGCCGTCGGTGTAGAGTGCCGACGGTGCACGCTGAGGGTTCATGGGTCGCCCGGCGGTCGATGCTGACGGTGCAGCAGGATGTACGATCGTGCTCGTACATATTGGCACCTCGCAGAAGAAGAAGGCGCGGAGAATGCTGCACGTGGCTGCCCTGCTGCCCGATGACCGTAGACCGGTGACTCCATGAGTAGTTGATGACCCAGGTGGTGGACCTTTGGTTGGCTGTCCACATGGTGTCCACCTGGCTGGTTGACTGACCAGGCAGCTCGCGGGCCTGGCTCATGGTGATGCCAGGATGCTCGCGGGCCTGGCGCTGGTGAGGCCTGGCACTGGTGTGGCCAGGCTGATGTAGTCAGGCTGATGGTGGGCCTGGCGCTGGTGTGGCCAGGCTGGTGAGGTCAGACTGATGTTGGGCCTGGCACTGGTGTGGCCTGGCTAATGGTCAGGCTGATGGTGGGTCTGGCGCTGGTGTGGCCAGGCTGGTATGGTCAGGCTGATGGTGGGCCTGGCGCTGCTGTGGCCAGGCTGGTATGGTCAGGCTGATGGTGGGCCTGGCGCTGGTGTGGCCAGGCTGGTGTGGTCAGNTTATATTTAAGAAATAAAACAATTACTGAATCAATAATAATTTTTTTATTTACTGTGATACTTAATACTACATGTACCAACACAAAGAAACACATTGCACTCCTTACACATAAATCTTGTTTCTTTTCTAACTCTATTAAGTGCACACATTTTGCAGCGCTGGACTTTTCCATTGGGTATTCTTACTGGAAAATGTTTCAATGCATCTGGAGATAAAAAGCGACATGGACTATTATGCACAAGGCGTGATGTCGAAGGAACTGGCTGATAGTCGAGTAATCTATTTTTAGTAATAATTTGTCTAATTAATTCAAGCTGAAATTCACCAAAAGCCTTTTGAGGACAACCTTTAATATATTTATATGCGTAATATGCATTTAAAATATGCATATCCATAACACGTAGTGCAAGTTTAAGGTACCATCTCCTGGTTTTTCTAATGCAGGTCAATGAACTAATCAACATGTCCGCGGTATCTATTATACCCATATTTTTAGTATAATCAAGTACGCACGCAGGTTTTAATATGGGCAAACCTGTTGCTCTGTCTTCTTTTTCGGAAGGTACCACACTCGCGTCATGCATGGTACTGATCATTGTCACTGCTTTCTTATCTTGCCAACTTAACGCCATCAACGGAGACGAATAAAAAGCTTCTACTTCACCTTTTTTCAACTTTTTAAACTTTGGCATTCCTTTTCTGCTTTTTTTAACAGTACCGCAAGCATATGTATTTTCTTCCATTAATTTCTTAAAAAGATTGGGACTTGAATACCAATTATCAGTATAAAGATGTCGGTTAGAGGACAAGTAATCTTTAATAAGTGTCAATACTACCGACCCGCTGACTTCCAAATCCGGGATATTTTCGATACTGGTTTCACCACCACAGTACACAATAAAATCAATTATAAATTTAGTTTCCACGTCACATAAAATAAACAATTTAATACCAAAGCGGTTTCTTTTTTTTTGGTAAGTATTGTTTCAGTACAAGTCGGCCTTTAAATGGGACTATACTTTCATCTATACACAATTTCTGATATGGTGTGATAGATTTTTTGAATATATTGCGAGCATGTTCAATCACGTAATTAATTTTGTGAAGCCTCGGCCTTTCATTATTATCGAATATATCTGTGAAATGCATCATTGCCATAATAAGGCAGAATTTATTTCTGCTAAGAAGTTTATGAAAAATTGGAGAATGTAGCAACGGGTCCGTGGAGCAATGTTCTTCTATAGTAATCCTTTTGTTTCTGGATATCAACATGCAAACTGCGATAAATAAATAAATATGATTAACGCCAACATCACTCCAATCGTGACTTCTGGAATGTTCTCTCAAATTCACTCGTCGAACATAGTACTGGTAGTACCTATTCGTACACCGCGCGATTTCACGCATTAATTCTTCATTTGCAAAATGCTCGAAGAACTCAAGTTCACTAGAGCATCCTTATAACTCTTGAGTGAAACCAGCAGTGAAGTCATCAAACGGTTCAACAGTTGGAGCACTACCTTCATTTGACCACCTTGATATTGTTTCGTCGTCCGGTACTTAAACAATAAAAATAATACGACATTAATCACTCATAATTTTAATTTTCAGTGGTTCTGAAATCATGCAGCATCTATAAATTATTTTCTTCATTTCTTAAAAAAAGAATAAGTAGGTATCTGTTACTTTTTTGACACAGCGACCCTCGATTCCGCAGCGTTTTTAACTAAGACAAATTAATATAGGAAGCCTGAAACTGTTCCTCTCAGAAGAATGTCAAATACTAAAATAAATACCTAGAAACTAACATACCTGTGTTTCGTCCAACTCCAATTCATCGTCAGACTCAAATTCTTCAGCCACATTTTCAAGGCCTTCCAAAATTCTAATTAATTCTTCGGCATCTGACATGGTTCGCATTAATTGTGGCACTAAGCACACTAACAATTAGTAATAAACTACCCACTTGTAAGTTAATATTCATCATACGATAAAATTATCAACTTACCCTCACTATTTCTCACCTCACTATTTCCTCTCCCTCCCGGACCTCTGAGGAGTTCAGACGTATTTCTTGTGGAGCCCCTACTAGTTTTTGTCACCAAAAAATAAATTAAAATAAAATAGTATAAAATAATCAATTAATAGTGAGTGCTTATAACCCGAAGCTACCAGGAGCGCAGAGAACACTGAAGCTCGACGAGTGGCGTGAGTGAGACATATATCTGTGCGAGCGAAAGCGATATCATTCTAACCGTGCCATCCTTGCTCCTGACTCCGCCCTTCGAATAATGCAGATGCGCGCCCGCGCAAGATCCGCCCGCAAACGACCGAGACAGCTATAGTTTCAACTGTTATCTACACGGTCTAGACCACTCCCTCAATAGTAAAGTGTGTGCGCCTGCGTTCGCCCCGCCCTACAAACGGAGCGCTTACCGACGGCAATGGGGATGTTGCCTGGGTCAAAAAGCAAGAGTTTTAATTAGTCCGTCAGTTAACTTATCAAAAAATACACTACACGTATTTTTCACTTTTTCAAACTAATGAAAATTTAAAGAGTTATAGCGCCCCAAAGTTCATAAGAAGAGGCCCGTGACGTCAACGCTTGCCTTAAAATGCCGCACGTTGTGACGTCGTGCGCAACTTCAACGCACCATAACTATGTAATTATTTGTTAGATTGACAAATAAAAATATATGTGTCCAATATTTTTTGATATTAAACATTCCGGACTAAAAAAATTTTTTTAGGCAACTAGCCTATTCTGTGACTACATTTAGGCCTACAAAGAACATTTTATCCTCAAATTATGCCTAAAACACAGCGTACGCCGCCGCAGGGTTTTAATGTGGACACTATCCGCACCCCTGAGCATTCACCCACACATTACGGATCCGATTCAGACCTAAATTTGTCATCCACCGGTACAGTGAAACACGATAGTCTATTGAATATCACAAAACGAGCGAAACGCAAATTCTCGGACACGCCCGGATGCTCGGCCGATCATTTAAACGAGTTCAGACAAATGTTTGAAAAACTTCAATCCCACCAAGAGGCCAAATTTGCAACATTAAACTCGTCTATACAAACACTAATTGAACAAAATACGGAGATACGAAAAACAGTGGACTTTATGTCCTCACAGTACGATACGCTTGTAAATAAAATTGAATCAGTGGAAAACGAGAATAAAGATCTCAAGTCCCATATCAAGTCCCTTGAACAAAAAGTTGACGCGTTGGAGAAGGATTCTAAGTCCACTTCGATCGAGTTGCGTAACCTACCGAAACTAGAACAGGAAGACAAACATTCCTTGTGCAACACTATTATCAACATAAACACCGCCGTTGGCTCCACATCAACCCTACAAGAATCCGAGATACGTAACATATATAGAACGAAAACGGAGGCAATAGTGGTGGAATTCACTACTACTTCTAGGAAAGAGGATTTGGTCCAGAAGTACAAAATATACAATAAGGAACAGCGTCACGCTAATCAGCCTCAACTCAACACAGTGACTCTCAATATCCCGGGCCCCAAAAAAACTGTGTTTTTATCCGAGGCCCTAACAACCAAAGCGCGTCGATTATATTACCTGACAAGAGAACTCGTGAAAAATCACAAAATAGTGGCTACCTGGACCTCTTACGGTAAAGTCTTCATCAGAAAAGAAGAGAATACACCCCCAGTGCGAGTGTTCGACGAGGGTGAACTTGCTAATATCGTCTCCTAATAGTTTTTAATTGTTTTTAATTTTAATTAATTGTTGTTACCTTGTTTCTAATTTTTAGTCTTTGATTGTATCACTATTTAATGTTGAATAGTAACTCTAGTGATGCTGATAATATAGTATCGGAGGCTAAAACATACACTAACAACATCATTAACATACAAAGTGATTTAGACAACACCAATATATCCGAATCCTCGGTGGAGGAACCTAAAGATTGTTTTAATAAACTTGGATGTCATAGAAATGGTCTAAATATTATTACACTTAACATCAGAAGTATCTACCGTAACTTCGATTATTTCCTGGTCTTCCTCAAAGGCCTAGGTGTAAACTGTGACATAATTGTTCTCACCGAATGCTGGTTATCTAAAGACAAACCTCCCCCCCATCTCGACAACTATAATTTGTATTACTCATCTGTCAATTTTAATCAAAATGATGGAGTTGTCATGTACGTTCACAAAAACATTAAACACACAGTGGTGGAGCCGGCCTTCTGTGACGCCAATTGTCTACTACTTAAGACCTCTAATATGGCAATTCTTGGTATTTATAGATCGCCCGCTCAGAGAAACATTGATAATTTCCTTAACTCTCTTGAAACAAACCTACAATCTATCAAAGTACATAAAACCATAGTTGTAGTCGGAGACATCAACATCGACATTAAACCCTTTAATAATGATCCCAAAAGTCACCCCTACCTCAACCTCCTAGCTGAAAACGGCCTCCTACCAGCACATGTCCTCCCTACGCGTGAATTAAATTGTTTGGACCATATTAATTTAAAAACAGATTGTAAAGCCCAAATCATAGTCATCAAAACGTTTATAACTGATCACTCACCCGTCTTATTAAACCTAGCTAAAATAAAAAAGAGAGACACAGACATAGCATTTAAAAAAATACTTAACATAAATAATTGCGTAAATGAGTTTACCAATAATACGAACCTCAATATAGTCTATGAGATTGACAATCCAAATATAGCTACTGACACCCTGATTAACATTATAAAAAATGTACTTGACTCGAACACTTCAACACGTAAGATCCCCAATAGAAAATATCTTTTAAAACCATGGCTTACAAAAGGATTATTAAGATGTATTCACCACCGTGACTCTCTGCATAAAAAAGTAAAGGAATCACCGAACAACGAAATTCTGCTAATCTCCTATCGGAGATATCGTAACTATTGCAACAACATAATAAAAAAAGTAAAAGAGGAATATGAAAGTGCTGAAATAGATAAATGTAAAAACCCTAAAGAGACATGGAAAAAGATAAGAAAATTCACAAACACAACTGCCAAGAAAAACCCTGCCGAAGAACTTTTAAAAATTAACCAAAATGACCCCCTAATATCTGTGAACCAAGTAAATGAATACTTTGCCGGTATAGGTCAAAAACTAGCTGATCACATACTGGCAAAAGGTAATCAAACACAATCGGATTGCAAAATTACCAGCTCACCCCGTATGAATTCTTTTGTCTTGTTAGAAACGGACAAATATGAAATTGGAGCCCTGATACTTAGCCTAAAAAATGACTCAGCCTCTGGTTGGGATCAAATTCCGGTTTCCTTCCTGAAATGCGTTAAAGACACTATAAGCCCAATCTTGGCATACATATTTAACCAGTGCTTTAGGGATGGAATCTTCCCTGATAGCTTCAAACGGTCTATTATACATCCGATTCACAAAGGCGGAAATAGAGACTGTGTCGAGAGCTACCGCCCGATCTCAGTGCTTAGTGTGATGTCTAAACTCCTGGAGAAACTTATTAATAAACGTCTGATGAAATATTTAAAAGACTTCAACATCATCTCTAATTCGCAGTATGGTTTCCAGGCTAATAAATCCACAGAAGACGCAATAGCTGAACTTACAAATGATATCGTGTGTGGGCTGGACAAAGGCAGGCGATGCATTGGGGTTTTCCTAGACCTGGCGAAGGCATTCGACACAGTCTCAATTAACACACTGTTAAACAAGCTAGAATTGATTGGAATCCGTGGATTACCACTGAGACTGTTTGGCAGTTTCCTTACCAACAGATATCAGTCAGTCAAAATAGGTGACCATGTAAGCTGTCCCCTCCCTGTCACCTGTGGTGTCCCACAGGGAAGTGTTCTGGGCCCAAGCCTCTTCCTGATTTACATAAACGAGCTCTGTCAATTCATACCACAGAATGGCAAAATCATCTCATACGCCGATGACACAGCTCTAGTATTTCAGGGGGAGACTTGGGCGGAGGCACGCTCATGCGCAGAACAAGGTCTACTACAGACATCAATCTGGCTTGACAAAAATCTCCTGACCCTAAATATCAATAAATCAAAATACATTACCTTCTCCATTAATAAATCCACACAACCTAAATCAAACCAATTCCCCCTAAAATTACATACATGTAACAGTTCCGATCTATCATCATGTCCATGCATTCCCTTACAAAAAACTAATGTCATCAGATACCTTGGAGTACAGCTAGACGAAACACTATCATGGAATACACAAGTCGAACTTTTGTCTGCACGCATAAGGAAGTTAATCTGGCTATTCAGGAAACTTAGAAACATACTAAAACCTAAATTACTTAAATCTATTTATTACGCCCTTGTCCAATCTGTACTTACCTACTGCATACCTGTCTGGGGTGGTGCATGCAAAACCAGAATCATAAAACTCGAACGGGCACAACGATCGCTTATTAAGGTCATGTTAAGGAAACCCTTCTTATATCCCACAGAGACTCTCTATAAAGATGCGAATCTAATGACAGTGAGACAGTTGTTCATCATGCAAGTGGCAATACGACAGCACAAATTCCTAAATTACAACCCTCCCACACAAAAGCCCACAAGTCGTAGGCCGCCAAAAGTTTGTCCTATGTCTAAACACAACACTGCATTCTTTCGTCGCCATACACCCTTTCTCGAAAAATTTCTGTATAATAAATTGAACACAGCACTAAATATATATCCTAAAATCCTATATGAATGTAAGACAATCCTTAGTAATTACTTATTGGAACTAAATTATCACCAAACGGAAGCACTACTTACACAATAACAATCACTATTCTATACAGCACGAAGCACACATCCATCTCACACTCACACACTATACTTACACGCTTACACAACACTCATCATCTCGCACACACTCTCTCTCACACACACACACACACACACACACACACACACACACACACACACACACACACACCACACACACACACACACACACACACACACACACACACACACACACACACACACACTCACCTCCTGAGTTACTTAGGTTTAGATTATCTTAGATTCTCTGGTATATTTTTATTTCTTTTTCTATATTTGTATTCTAGTTATAAGCAAAATTAAACAATAACACACGGTTCGGGCGGAGAGTCTGGAGGCCTGAAATACAGGAATTTCCTAGTTTAGGCTCCAGTCCTCTCCAATATTATGTGTTTACTTACCCTATTTTCAACTTAACAACTCTCAACTTCATTATGTATTGCAATATAGTGAACATGTAATGTTGTGGTGGAAATAAAGAATTATTTATTTATTTATTATTATTATTATTACTGTTTAAACACAAATTATTATTAACATAAAAATGATAAGGTTTTTTTTTATTCATAACAAGACCGCAATCGCACCTGGTCTTAAGTGAGATGCAGTCTGGGATGTCATTCTTAGTTAAAAAAACCCTTTTTTGGTGCTTGAAAGACCAAAAACTAATTTATTTTATGATTCATATAGGGCCCTGACCATATGAATCACGCACAGATAAATCAGTTTTTTGCCTAAAATCGAGCAAAACTCGTCATACATACAGACTACAGTGTTGTCATTTTTCTACATGATTATATAACCCAAAAGCATCACAAGAAAGACAGATTAGATTTTTAATGCAATAATGTAATTTTATAAAGTAGGCATTGTAATCAGCATGCCACCTGAACCAAGCACAGATGAATCAAGTATTTGCCTTCGTCACACCGGGTTCTAAGCCAACCAGCTCCACGTCTGCCTTCTAGCTCATCCGTTGCAAGATGGGCTTGCCTCCACGCCAGAAACCAGACTCTCATGACTAAAACCTGACCAGTTATGGTCAAGAACAGCTCACGCCATATGAATCAGTATTTTATGCCGGACACTGCTTATTTATTTTTTTGCGAACAAACTAACTTAATTAAAATTATGACACATTTTTTTTGTAGAAGGACAACTCATTAGCTTTCGAAATAATTTTAATTTATATTGATATATCAAAAGGAAAATGCTACATCAACCATTTTGTTCCGGAAAATGGCTAACGGACACACCATATGAATCAGAGAATCACACTTCAAATATTTTTATTTTGTATAAAGACAGCAATTATGTCAAAAATGTAATTTGCGCCAGATAGGGCTATAGCTAAGCTATACGAAAAAAATATTGCATGCCATTTTGTTAGTTGGTTACAGAACTATACCCAAAGACATCGAAAATTTTGCCTCCGAAGAAATACCCTTTTCTCAACTAACCCTTCACTGGCCAGTAGCTGTCATCAAAGTAACAAAAGAGGATGATATCCAACCTTTTTCTGGTGCAGGTGACGAAGTGCATCTTCCACAAGTACGGTCCGAGCGGCTCCATCCAGCAGCACGACGCGCTGTGCGTTATGGCGCTCAACATCATCCATGAGAAGATTTACACGGTGCTCTGGTTCTGGCTCTTGTTCCTCTTCATTGTGTCTGTGCTTGGTGAGTTTTGATGTGGTTACTGTTTGTACTGGAATTGTTCGATTGTGATCATTACAATTTTCAGATGTTGAATAAGAAATTAGAGGTCATTTTCGATTTAATGCATTTTAATGTAGAAGGTGTGGCATTGTGGAAAACCTTGGAGGAGGCCTTTGTCCAGCAGTGGACGTCATTTGGCTGAAACGAACGAACGAATGTAGAAGGTTCAAGAACATCAACCACTTCCAATATATTTTTTATCCCCAACGACGAAGCTCTTGACCAGCATCTCACTTGATGGAATGATCGGGCCGATGTCAAATCAAAATCATATTCTATTTTAAATTAGATCATTTTTGATGCTGATAAACTGTCCTAAACCATGTCTGGATCACCATTCCAATATCTATAAATGAACCAACTTTTACTCGTCGATATACCTAGATAACTCATCATCATCATCATAAGGTCATTTTAGTCTTCACTGCAGGAGAACGACCCTCTCAAAATGAAAATAAAATTGAGGATTTGGCCTACACTCCTCACGTTGGCCAGACGGGTTGGGAAGGCACCTCGTTCGTTCGTTTCAGCCAAATGACGTCCACTGCTGGACAAAGGCCTCCTCCAAGGTTTCCCACAATGCACGGTCCTGCGCTGCCCGCATCCAGGCTCTTCCCGCGACCTTTACATAACTACTTCAATAAATATATACTGTTTCTCAGCTGTCATCTGGCGAGCGGCTTCTTACTTTTTCTACCGACGGTCCTTGAAGTTCAACGAGATGATGTTCCGCCAAGCGACGAACGGCAAGTTCGACCCGTACAACGTCATCAGAGTCGTCAACGGCTGTCAGTTCGGGGACTGGCTGTTCCTTTACTATCTGGCGAAGAACATGAGCAGTATAGTCTTCCAGTAAGTATTTGGAACTTCTAGGATCTTCTATTTTGGTCTTTCTTGCTGACATCTGTATCTTTTCTGAGTTTCTTCCGCCACTTCTTCTCAGCACTATGTTATCATGAAGTGGTGGTAGGGCAAGTTATTTATATGTATATGTTACGGCTAAAGATAGATGTGAACATAAACTTAAGATTAGCCGGCTAAACTTAAGTTTATCTTCGACGAGGTGTTAATGTTAGTTTCTTCTATCTTTAGCCGGCTAAACTTAAGTGTAACCGCAGGCCCTTGGCTAAAAATGTAGAAGGAAATGGAAAAGGAAACAATGTAATAATGTTTACTATTTTGACACGAAAAATTTATTAAAAAATAATCACTTTCATTACACATACTTTTATGTACCTATGTAGGTATTCAAAATTACAATTATTACAATAACAAAATATTAATTACATAAAACAATATCTAGGTACCTAATCATTAAAATAAAGTAATAAGGAACCATTTGGTCATTACAGAATCTTCTGTAGGTAGGTATTTAAAATTACAAAATAAAACAAAATAAAACTTCTTCAGTGTTAATTACTTAAAACAATGTCTAGTCACAATTGTTAAATAATATGGAGCTAATCGTTGTCTCCCCACCGCCCCCTCAAGCCCTCCGCCGGCCTGGCGCGCCCATCGAATACATTTTTAGCCGTATCGTTTTGGCTAATGTGCACATTAGCCGGCTAAAGATGGAATATCATGACGCAAACTAACATGTTATCGAACTTTAGCTGCTTCTCGAAGCTAAACTTAAGTTTAGCCGGCTAATCTTAAGTTTATTTTCACACCTATCTTTAGCCGTAACATATACATATTTGGGACTTGTACAAGTGCCCTGGTAAGGGCCTCAGTACTGAATAATATTTTGATTTTGATTTCCTTGAAACTATGTGTTTATGAACATTGAAAAGTTTTCTGTTTTGTGTATCAAGGAATTAGTTTTTGCCAATTTCATTTTACTCCATCTGGGTACTTACTTCTTTCTTTCTTTTGTAAATGAGATAGGTGAGTTAATATTCCTCTTAATCCACAGGCAACTATTCGTGGGCCTGGCTGAGGAGTTGCAGAAGAGAGACATGCCTTACGTCGACGAAGATGACCTTAATCATGAAGATAAAGGCGCTGAGCCCGTTCTGATAGGGAAGATTCACTACGACGACGAAACTCTACCTTTGAAAGACGATAAGAAGTCCTCGTAAACATTGGTACATGAGGAATAATATTCTACCACGTAAAAGGTTGTCCGATCTGCCATTATTAATGTTTCGTATCAAATACAGCGCTCTTTAAGAAAAAAGGGAAAGCGCTTTTAACAGAGGGCAAGAAATTTCGATAGTGATAGACCAATGAAATTACTCATAGGCCCTTTCACCTCTATTTTATAGGGGCTGCTATGATGTTGTTGAGAAAATTAAGGTGTACGAGTGTATTTTGTGTTGTAAATGCCAAAGGTTACTTCAATAGGTGGATAATTTATACACATAAAGGAGTTTTAAGTTAGACATAATAATAGAGATGAAGCATTTGAAGTCAACTTTAACGGACTCAGATTCTATAAATTGAGTTGTATATTAAGAAAACTGTTTAATCTCTTGGAAAGAGAAGAGAAAATATTTTTCTGAATTTATCGTTTACATACTTTGCATCATACAGTTTGGATTACGTAGGTGTTACCACAGGTATTACTTCTAAGATATTTTGCATATGAAAATTGCTAGATGATGTGATATTGAAATATTTGAATGACTCAAGAGTAATTCAATATAATACAAGTATTATTATCAAATTATTGATACTTAAGCAGGGTAATAAAAGCGTACCGAATGATCGACGATTATTTAGGCCGTATAGATAAGCTGCCATTTTGGAATCCATAAGTAAGTTTATTGTTAGTAATTTATGGTAGTTAGGTAGTAGGAATAATTGAAATTTTATGTTGTGAAATGTGTGCTTGCGCGAAGTATGAGTGATATTTGAAAATGAATTTGGTATTATTGCTCAAATAATTTATAAGAGCACTTTAGCTTATATTACATCGAATAAAAACTTGTTTCGGATTATTTCAACTCAAAAATTAAATGTAGTAACTTATTTTTGTTACCAATTGCCCAATGATAAGCCAATTAGAATTTAAGATATTTTTGTAAATAAAAGAAAACTTTGTTGTACGATCAATTTTATTACCTTCTAGTGATGTTGCAGAAATATTAACTAACAAATATAATCTACCGTTAGTAACATAATAAGCTATTATGTTGATAATCTTATAAGGATTATATTAAATTATAATTAAGCCTTTTTTGAAGGTATCGGCAGGTGCGGCGTTTATAAAAACATTGCGATCCGTATCGATTAAGTAAGACTGCTTGTAAATTATTAGATAAAAATCCCGATAAAGACTGTCGGCGAGTTCTTAAGCACTTAACTTTTTCACGGTTCTTCAGCTAAACATGAAAACCTACGATTTTAGGACTGACAGAAAAGAGATTTTTCCTGGAAAACTTACGAATAAAATATTGGTAGAAAAGTAGAGTTTGCATTGAATACGCGTAGGTACTCCTCAAATAACTATAATTGCTATATTTTATGTCTTATTATGTGAACTTTGAAGTATAAAAAGACGCCTTTAGTTTAATTTTCAATGACGATGATGTATGTACAGTTTACAGCACATTAGATTATAATTTTCATTGGAAAAATCGCCCTTATTGCCCTTATAAGATGCCGTTGTGTTTAGACTAGATGTGCCGTCATCTATACATACCTACAATGTTAACTATTGTTTGATTTAAGCTACGAATAAGTATGATTTGAGCAGCACAAAAAGTTCACACAGATTCAGGGTTATCATACTTGTTTGACATTGTTAGATTCGTCTCTGACGCAAGCTTAACCAATTGAAAAAATGTCGTAAGCGTCAAGTGTTTTGAGACATTTCGTTTCATTATCACGTTTTGCAACATTATGAAAATTAAAACCATATTTATTGATTAGATACAGAAGTAGCTTTAATTTCGGAAGCTTTAAGCATCTACTGCCAAAGTAGGCCTGCTGATGTTCTTCATTTTATCCGTGATAATCTCTAGACCAGGGGTTCATAAAATTTTTAGATTTTATAGATTACTAGCTTTCCGCCCGCGGCTTCGCCCGCGTGGAAATTTGTCTGTCACATAAAAACTTTATCGCGCGCGTCCCTGTTTCAAAAACCGGGATAAAAACTATCCTATGTTCTTTCCCGAGACTCAAACTATCTCTATGCCAAATTTCATCAAAATCGGTTGCGAGGTTTAAGCGGGAAAGCGTAACAGACAGACAGACAGACAGACAGAGTTACTTTCGCATTTATAATATTAGTTGGGATTTATTTGATGCATTTTTTTGATTTAGAGTGGACCTTCCGGGTGCTGGGATTGTGAGGGAGAGAGGGATTCTTAATTTGTACCGTCCATGGATCCCCAAATAAATTTTTCACTTACTATATAGACCTCTTAGAGCTTGTAACCGACCGAGCGACCCATGGGGGTCGATATGGATCACCGGGTAACGCTGCTATAAAAAGCACATCCTAATCATGGTGACTTACGACATGGTAACTTATTCACAAACGATGCTTGCTTATGTGAAGCAGCAAATCGAACGCACAGCGTTGAATAGAGCTCTGTGATTGGTTCGTCTGTCACCATGTGCGTCCACGCGCACTGTGAGGCCTCATAGTAATGTTTGTGAATACTGACGTTAGTTTCGTTGACTTTTGAGTAGCGCGCGGTAGTGGGCGTATAGTGGTCACTAATGATGCCAAAATATAGCATCATGTCGAGAAACTGATGTTTGATGTACTGATTAATTAATACCCGCTAATGTTGGGCTGTGTTCAATTATAGCCTAGTACTCGTATATTTGGTGCCAATCCTGTTAAAATGATGTAACTGCGAATACTGCAAACTGTATAATTTAAACTTTAAGTCGTCATCGCAAACACATTAGTATCTGTCTAGCAAGCATTACACGGCAAATATTATAATTAGACATCAAAACCTGTATGAGATCTTGATTTTGAAGTATGATTGTGATAAAGCTCGGGGCATTACGGAGTTACTTGTGTAAAAACTTTTTAAGGAAGAGAAATAAAAGTAAAGCCTGATTGCGAGGTAGAGTTTGAGATTTATATTTCCTTGACACAGATTTTCAGACTATATGTTCTGGATTCTAATCCCTGGTGGACATACTGAATAAATAGCGAAAATAACGTCGTTATTATTTGTTTTAAGTTTGGTTTCGGATTGTCAGAAAGCTCGTCAATTCTGTTTCCGTTAGCGTTGCTCTTTCTTGTACCAGAAGAACAACACAGAAAAAAAGCTCGCCAACGTGCTTTTGTTTTTAATTAGTACCTATGTTACAAGCCCATCCATATTGATTAATTATAATGCAAAAAACACCTATTAAAAGCCTTTATTTTCATTAAGTTACAAAGCGTATTGTTATTGATTAATTACTCTACAAAAAGCACCAACTAAAAGCCTATGATCTTCGTTTCAACCGAATGACGTCCACTGCTGGACAAAGGCCTCCCTCAAGGATTTTCACAATGACCGGTCCTGCGTTGCCCGATGATGATGATGAATGATGATTAAAAGTATAGTTGTTGCAATTCACGAAGGCTAGTGAGCTTTACATGTGTGGTGACTCGCTTCTTTTTCAAAAGTTTTGATAGACATTATACCATCGTTATGTGCATGTACATACGAACACACACAAGTAAAGCTCACTCGCCTTAGTGAGTTGCAAGACCTGTATTTGATTGATAGTGCTGTAAATGGTTTAATTAGTAATGTTATGTTATGTAGTGAGTTGCTAGTGAGCATCAATTGGGATGATTGTGGGCGTGTCATGTGCTCCATCCATTCACACCAGTGACTTCATGACGGTGACCTTATTTGACACATGCGGATCTAAATTATGGAAATGTCGTGTTAAAAATAGAATCCAGTGCAGGTAATATTTTTTATTGAACCAAATTGCTACTAATGTTTTATGCAGGTAACAGCCGTGGAAAAAACATAGGTACATGTTTTTGTACAAAACGGTTGAATTGGACAGAGGTACTGTTTTTAAAATGCTTTGTCTAAACACACACTACTTAAGGAGACTTAACATGCTCTCCACATAATCAGTAATTTATTTTTGCTTGACCGTGGCCTTTTAACTAGCTGTTCTTATTCTGGGAATCAAATCTGGAAACCAGTTAAGAGAGCTCAACACTAAAACCTGGAAACCAGAAAAGCGCCAAAAATGTGGATATTGTCCAATTAATGTATAGTGGGTGGGGATGACAGTAGACAGGACGAATAGTGCTGCACTTGTTCTGCAGACGTAGCCACGTAGTGTCAAGAGAGCATAGTTAACGCTTAATATTTGGCCAATTATGCACTTTGGTGGGTTAACAGCTGCACTGTTCTGTTCCGGCAGTTAAATGTAGGATAACCAGTTCCTCTGTGGTTGAAGCTCGCTCCACCTTGGGCTTGATCATTACCTTCCATCAGGTGAGATGCAGGCCAAGAGCTTTCTCGTTGTGGATAAAAAAAGCATAGTGGGCGAAACGACAATAGGCAGGACGAAAAGTACTGCACCTGCAAACGTACTGACATAGTCAGCCAAGTAGTTTCTTTTCTGACAATCTGTGATGACCTATTAGGACCAACATAAGTAATCTAGTTTTCCTGACCACTCTGGCCTCATAACTAGGTTCTATTAGAATCCATCACTAAAACCTGGATCAAAAAGCTGTTAAATTTACCTATTTAGCCCATTAATGGATAGTGGGCAGGACGAAAAGTACTGCACTTGCTGACGTAGCCACGTAGTGTCAAGAGAGCATAGTTAACGTTTAATTGCTTGCGCGCGCGTCCCGCGTTGCCGCGGTTTACTCGCGAGTGTTGACCTCGAATGCTTCGGGACTGTCTTGGAGTTTTTATTTAAAATTTGTGGACTTGTATGTTTGTTTGTCGGGTATTATTTAAGTACTAGTTTCGTAGTTAGAGCAGTTACATGGCAATCTGCAGGTAGTAGGTTCAAGCCTCAATAGAGTCGTTAAATGTTGTTAAATAGAGAAATGTTAAAATTAAATTAATAATTTAGGTAAATAGGAAGGTTATTGATGATATTTGTTTGGTTAAATGTCTTACTTTAATCAAGGTAATATGTTTTTAAGCAAGAGGACTTTTTCAGGTTTAAAAAAAGGATTCAGGAGTTCATCAACTTACTAAAATAAACACGACTAAAAGTGCTATAAAAATTGTTTATTAATACTAAATTTTTTTTTATCAATAGTTAAGGAAATAAATATTAAATATTTTTTTAAACCTACGTTTAGTTCTAACTAGCTTTCCGCCCGCGGCTTCGCCCGCGTGGAATTTTGTCTGTCACAGAAAAACTTTATCGCGCGCGTCCCTGTTTCAAAAACCGGGATAAAAACTATCCTATGTTCTTTCCCGGGACTCAAACTATCTCTATGCCAAATTTCATCAAAATCGGTTGCGAGGTTTAAGCGGGAAAGCGTAACAGACAGACAGACAGACAGACAGACAGACAGACAGACAGACAGACAGACAGACAGACAGAGTTACTTTCGCATTTATAATATTAGTTGGGATAGCAATATTTTTTTCAGCCAGCTAGGCTGTTGGATGTTTTAAAGTTTTAAATAAAATAAAATAAAGTATTTAAACCTGCTGAATGAAATTATAGGTTTATTATAGCCACTACTATTTACTAAGATATCAAAAATACATAAATATATACTTGCCCTTAGGTTCGCGTTGTAATTCGTCAATAGAAGACAAGAAAATGATAAAAGTAATTGTTTTTATATATCTATTTAATTTAAAATTGAAAACTAAACAAATTGGTTAGTTTTTGATAGCGTTTTTATTTTTAGAATTTATCCAGCACTGTTTAATCTAATAATTAATATTTACAAAACAATTTGCTTTTTTGGGAGATAATTAAATGAATGATAAAGAGTAAACTTTAGTTTACGAGATACCAAATATCTAAGATAAACAAATTATTTAAGATATAGTAAGAATAACATAGTAGAAAACAAATGATTCACGTTTTTTATGTAATAAGAGATATAACGAACTATTCAGTCACTAGTTAATACTGAAAATCTACATAATATTAATAACTGACTAAAAAACAAATGTCGAACGTCCCGAAGGGTCTCCTTTCCTGGAATTTTGGTCCCAGAGTCGAGCGATCTCGACCCACAGGTAGCGCGGCTGGTTTCTGGCCCCACTCTGAGCAGTAGCTTGACGTCGAATTTTCAAATCTATCTGGAGGAAATGGGACAGATGTGGAAATACTGAAACCACGTTTCGAAATAGGCCAATGGTTCTGTAGGTGAAAACCTGCTGTGAACCGTAAAGTACAGACGTTTCAATCAGTTTTTTGAGGTATTTTTATTGCGTCATTGCGAGTAAATTGCATTTTCGCTCCTGAAATGAAAAGGAAATATCTTTATTGCTACCACTACTATAACTAACAATAATGATGAATGAAATGAATAGGAAATGAACTGAAGAACTGAAAAAAATAAAATAAATATACATGGAATTAAATTTAATTTTATATCGATAGGTGGTCTAAGTGGAATACGCCAGGTGCTCAAAGTGAAAAAAAAAAACAAAATGGAATTATTAAAAAGAACTTAGCAGTTATTTATTACGCAACACATTAAAGAAAAAGAAGGAGATTATGCTAAGGACAATGACCAAAAGTGGTCCAAATGTCCACCACCAATGAGACCTATATTGGCTTATAGTCCTTTAAATAGAGATTAACTTTCAGTATGGGACGAAAAAAAAATAAGCTGTCAGTAAAAAGTTATGACTGTTTGAAAAATTTCAGTAGTTTACGCCCTTATCTCAGGAACTACTGGTCCGATTTAAAAAAATATTTTTGTTATGGATAGCCCATTTATCAAGGATGGTTTTAGGATAAATAACATCACCCTACAACCAATAGGGGAGGAGCAGTAAAGACAAATGTTGTAAAAATGGGAAATATTATTCAAACAATTTTCACGCGTACAAAGTCGTAGGCACAGTTAGTATAATATTTAATAAAATTCATCTATAACCCCGCGCCACATGCGACATGACATAAAATGCGTAGATTAGTCCAAAATGTGCAATGGATAGAATGATACCAAGAACATTTTTCGGATGAAAAGGTAAAAAACTGACTTTTCATTCAGTCATAACTTTTTACTGACAGCATATTTTTGATTGCGGTTTGGTTATAATGAATCAGTATATAATAGACTATTTTACTACATAGGTCTCGTTAGTGGTGGACATTTGGACCACACTGCATACATTTTTGGTCATTGTCCTTTGAAAAGCTTACTTCAAGCTGATTTAACGAATTTTGCCATTTTTTTAATGGTGGCTGATGCAATATTGTAACATAACCCTCCCCAATCCGCGTCGCGCAGTCGGCTAAAAAGCATGACGCAATTTTAGGGTTAGATTACATTCAAATTCAAATTCTTTATTTTTTTGTTTTTCCTTTTCCTTTAGGTAATTAATTACATAAAATGTCTTTAACCTGAAAATATACGATTTGACATTGTTTAAAGTTTCTTACTTAAGTAAGTAAACAAAGTAGGAACTCCTGTGTAAAATGTCATACTAAAGTGACCTATATAAACTGCATTGCGTGTTAGTTAATTAGGTGAAAAATAATATCGATTACAGAGTCATCATCATCGTTTGTTTCAGCCGAAAGGTGTCCACTGCTGGATCAAGGCCTCCCCCAAGGTTTTCTATAAAGACCGGTCCTGCGCCGCCCGCATACCAGGCACCTCCCGTGACCTTCAGCAGATCGTCGGTCTACCTACTGGGAGGCTTGCCCATCATCATCATTTCAGCCATATGACGTTCACTGTTAAACACTGTTATTTTTGCAGTATCAACTCATTATCATCTCAGCCTGAGCAGGATGTTTAGCACAGTCCGGGAGGCCAATGATGGCAGTGTAATACTTATTAAAAAAGAAAAGTTACATTCATAAAGGCGGTAGGTACTAATATTTTTGAAAAGAATCTTGCGTCGATTTCGGCACGCACCAACGTGAAAAGGGTCACGTACACCATATTTTTTACAAAGACCGCATTCCATTAATATTTTTGGGGTAGTACTGCTAACAAAATGTTATTCGATTGTTAGCAAGTAAAAATAATGACGACGACAAAGTTAACTGTGAATTAACAAAACAAAAAGTAGATAGTATACCTAAACTTTTTATAGCTGCTATTCGAAACAATACATGAAAAACAAGCGTGCTCATTATTAATAAAATGTTGTACTTTAAGCCTTTATGAATAATCGTAGGTTGTAAAGTCAACAAATAAAATGAAAATAAGCGCGAAAAAAGAATCCTACATTTGTAAAATTAACTTTTCACACTTTAGAATACAATAAATAGTCGCAAAAATAATAATTAGCCTACTAATTTTAGTGTCAAATTAATGAAGTAAATGAAACAAACAATTTATTAAGTATTTAAAAGCCATTTTCAGTATTATTTTATGAATTTGTTTACTAAAATAAGTGAAACGGAACGTATCATTTTGTGTACTAGCAACTCGAGTTAAGATGGCGTCCGACCGTCGGCCCGCCAAATGTCATTGCAACGCCTCGGGAGGGTTAAAAATATGTTTGTTTCTTTCCATCACACGTGCAAGCCATAGTGCTGTCTCAGGTATCGCAGCTGAATATTATTGTCCGCTGCACGCACCAAATAAATTTTGTGAGAGCCGTATCAGCCGCGAGACGGAGTACTTTTCTTTGACGTCGTATGGTTACGTTTTGTGTGGAGTGTTTTTAGTTATTTTCGTGACTATTTTGACGATAATATAGACATTTTACGCGATACATTCGCTGTGTTTGAGTGGACAGTATTTATCAGATCGAAATAAGTGTGAGTAAACACTCCGAAGGGACAGATTTCGAAAACGCATTTCGCAAAAACAATTGTACTGAAGAAATTGACCGAGTGTTTGGCAACAAATAAACTACGGTGGTGAGTAGATTGACTTTAATTTGGTTTAGAATAAAATTAGCCCAGTGACTTAGTTATTTTAAATTTTATAGCTTATATTGTTTGCTCCGTAGTTAGAGAGCAGCTGATCAATAATAAAATGATTTTGTTAATGAACTTAACAGGAATGGCATTAGGTAGATATCGTCCACCTTATTTATGAATCAATTAATTAATTTTACTATCAATTTGTACTGGTTACGGCACGCTGGTGTTGTAATTACTTCTTGTAGTAGATGCACAAGTTTTATGTTTGAGCAAGTCTACGTATCAACCAGTTGAATAAAAAAAAAATAACGAAAACGATATTTCAAATTGAAGAATCTTACGACTTCCACCTGAAGAAGCCGGTAAGTTTTTGGAATAAATCTGCACCCTTAAGATTGTCCAACTACTTTACTTACTTATTGCATCAGATCAATGTAGTTAGTTTACCATCATTCTTTGCTTTATGAATATAATACTGCTACCCAATTACTTCACAGATAAAGGTATTACTTATTCCAGAAATATGTCAAGACAAGCTTGCACAAGACCGCTGATCTTTGGAAAAGGAAAAGCTTATTAAATATAGAATATTTTGATATCGCAATACTTTCTAGGCCTCAAAATATGACCCGGCTTCATGACAATGCACCACTGTGCAGTGAAAGTAACAATTGGCAGTTAAACCATGGCTCACTTCAAAGAATACCACATAAAATAATTTTGTGAGCTTCAGGAAGTCATTGTTGATAGCAATTATCCAAATTGTTTAGTTGTGTTTACCTCTCAATTATTTTATGACCATAATAAATTCGTTTTTTAAATCGTCTTAATCAACGCCCTCGTGTCTGTAAAATCTCACAGATTCAAAATTCTGCCAATGCGGCTGGAAATATTGGAAGTATTTTCCGCTGTTTCCTAAACGAAACTTACAGAATCGATAACTTTTCACGTTTGCTGCGACCAGAAAGTATTCCGTTTCTAATAATTTTGGTGTAAAAAATAGGTTTGACTCCAGTCACAGTCCGCATTAACGCACGACCGCCGCACGTGTCTAAGTATTGGCCACGGGATGATGACCCTCACCACATTTCGTGGCCCAAACTTGCCCAAATGGTGCTCCGTGGCCACACTGTATAATTTGGTCCATCCTGCGCTCGCTTTAATCACCTTTAATATTACATCGCTGGGGGGCGGGGCGACTGATTTATTGCCTCTAGCCTCCAATCTAGCAAGACATACCAGATTTTAACTCTGGACATACCTCGTGGATGCTCAAACAAGGACCAAACAACGCCGGTCGCCGTAATTTCCTCAGTCTAATGAAAGGTGGAATGCTCGAATCCAAATGCTCATGTCGTGTTCGATATAAAATTTATCGTCGTCCAAGATTTTGTCGGCTAATTTAACGATTTCTTCTCCATGTTATTTGAAAATAAGCTCATAGGAATGACAAGGCAGGTTTCGGACTATCCTGTTTACACTCGTTTTATATTAGCTATTTTTGTGCGAAAGTAACAACAACATTAGTCATTTTAGCAACAGCAACAAGTGCCGAATAAATGTCCTGTTTAGTAATGCAATACCTAATTAGATCATCAATCACACTAATTTAATAGCATGCAAACCGCATGCTGTAAAATTAGTATATTAAACAAGTGCATATAAATGCATATTAAACAAGTGAGTACAGTCGCATGCGTATTCACCTGATACTTGAACTGATTTTAGGCATATGAAACATGACAAAAACAAACGGCGTAAAGGTTAAAACCTTCATAACCTTCATGCACCTAACTGTACCCATTTATTTTTCCATCCTCAACACCGTACCTAGTGTTAATTCTTACGTCATGTACCTACTGTAAATACGTAATTAGGTACAATTGGAGTACCGTTTGGAACTAGATATTTGCCATTTAAACTTCCACTGTTCATGATGACATTCATCTCTTTCATGTTGCATGTCAATCCTGTAATTTGTGGCAAACAATTTCAGCGTGTCAGTCAGTTGAAATTAAATAACACGTTCGTCTGGATGGTGTTACGTAACGAGGTCAGTAAATAAGATTAATATTGTTTATCAGATTGAATTTTAATTAGTGTTTTTAACTAGGTCTTTTCTGTTCAAATTTGTTTTTACGCAGATAAGCTCATTCTGTTTTCGTGCAACAGAAATTGACGAACACATTTATTTAGTCCAAAAATAAACCCGCATTGTAACAGAATTTACACCCAATTAGTTGTTTTATGGGAATTCCCTAAGAGTCTACTTACAAAAAAACTTTCGGGAAGCCATTGAATTGTACAAACAAAATTTAAGTTAAAATGTGCTACTTTGTTTGTTATCGCCATTTGCAACGGCTTTATAAGTTCTTTTGTGTCAGGCAGGGAGTTTGTGCCGGCATTAACATTGTTGTCGGTTACAATTATCTACCTCATTCAGTTTGCCTGCACACTATCGTGTTGTTAGGCGAAAATGATTTAAGTTACTCGCCGGTGGCGATGATGCCCCTGGCAGCATTGGCACGGTCGGATAATGGAATGAAAGTTGAGTGTTACACTGTGTTATTTCAACTGTCATGTCGACGTAACGTCAACGAATATTTTGGCGACAATTATGTAAATTGCGTGACTTTGTAGCCTGACTCTATTAATGACTGATCCTTACAGGCGTATTAGTACTCGGTCTATAGGTGTCCGAAGACTTTACCACGTGTTTCGTTTATGACGCCAGTCACGAAAAAGGCAAGGGATAAACCCAAAAACATGCAAAATTTACAAAGTAATAATTTGTAACACTTCTAATTCCGTTATCGTTTCACTTTGTCTCTGTTCTGAACGTGACATAAACTACTTAGCTCACTAAGCAGATGGTAAAATTGGATGTGTCACGAATGTATTATTGAAGTAGTTTGTTTCGAAAACCGATGTTTGTGCCTAAGTAATGGAAGGTCCATAGGCAAATGCCTGTTTTGGAAGAGAGGAATCACTCATAATTGTGACACTTTCCTCGCAATAAAGTTTATTATTATTAGTCTGGGTATCGAATTAAATACTAACGATGGACAGCCCATTAGTTCTCAGTTACGTCCATTCAGACTGCATACGACACTTGCACCTTGCACCGCTCGATCGCCTTGACCGCGAACAGGATTGTCAATTGCCTAGAAAAATAACTCAAAATTATTGTGACACTTTCCTTGCAATAAAGTAAATTATATTAGTCTGTGTGTCGAACTAAATACTAACGGCTGACAGCCCATTAGTTCTCAGTTACGTCCATTCAGACACTTGCACCTTGCACCGCCCGATCGCCTTGACCGCGAACAGGATTATATCAAACAGCTGGCCCTTCGCACATCTGTTGCGACTTATGGGCTTTAAGGTCGATATTATAAAATACTATGTTGCGAGTGCTGATTGCCCTTTTTCTCATGAGATTTCTTGCATCAAATACAAGTTAGTATAGTTTAATATAAAGAGGAAATATTTGATTGTATTCAATAGGCTCCGAAACCACTGGATCGATTTGAGAAATTCTGTCACCATTAGAATCTTTTTTTTTCTGATGAACATAGACGGGTCAGTTAATTATGTCCTATTCATAAAACGGACAGAATGCATATTTGAGAAGACTCTACAAGCTTTAGTGCTGATATGATTCTAAGGAAAATATCGGAAAAAGAGCCATCGAATGTGCTTTATCGTTTGTTAGGAATTTACATCTTCATTTACAAGGGACCTTGATCCTAGATTCAAGGCAATGTAATAAACAATATTTTTTTGGAACTGTTTAGTAATCTATGCAAAGAACGTAAAACGTGTAGGTAAAACAATGTTTATGTAAAGACCGTACAGACGAGAGAAAATTAATCTAAACTCTGCGACTGTTATGTAGTTGAAATAAGTCAGTTATTGCAACAAAAACGTGTTGATGTGCTATAGAAGACGATAGCATGTCAAGCTATACACTGTGGCATCTTATGTAGGTGTATTAAGGGTGATTTTGCATCAAAATCGCGTTGTCTAATGTGCTATCGACTGTACCTCTGATGACCTTTGCTTGTGACATCAGCCAGCCCGCAGCCGCAGCTTCCCATCAGTGTGGCAATGTTTTGTTTCAACTATTTGGGTCATACGCATTATGCTGTATGACGCTTGATGTTATCTGTACGTGCTGTATTTATTGAATTAATATCTATCAAAGCTAAAAAACTGGCAAAGTAATGCGGTTAAATTGGAAGACTTTGGAAAACATTATAGTGCACTGCAATGGTAAAATAGACAAAACATCGGCTTAATGTTTCTATGGAGAAAAGCACATGGTCGTGTCTCAGTCTATGAGAAAAATTTAAAGCTCACTACACAGGTAAAAACACTGTCTATGTCCATTGAGTTATAATGTACTACTGTCTATGTCAGCCTTATGCCCTTACGTGAACCGTGTGTCTAACATGTTATGCATATTAGTTTATAAAATATTCAGAAGAAATTAATATAAAACTCTCATGTATTTTTTAAATAATTGAACAAGTTTCGAAATAATTACATCGAGTAGGTAAGTTCAAGCTTTTTATAATATTACAGCATAGTTTCATCATTCCATCGCAAGTAAAATTTGTAGTTTATCACGTTAAGATACTCAACCTTGATGGCATTCGTAATAGTTACTAAATTATGTACGACAATTAACTCTCAAAACAAAGGCACATACATCCAAACCGCACATTTTTGTAATAAATAGCTTTACAATTAATTATACAGGATGTCCCAAAATTTTGCATGTCACACTGACACTGCAGCGCTGGAGGTAAAATATGTCAATGACATCCATAGAAAAGTTACATAAGTTTGGAGATATTACCAATTTTAAATTAATGTCCATAGAAAAGATAGATGAGTTTTGAAATAGTACTGAAATTATTGAAAAAAGTACTTGTCTTCGTTGATTTTGATGTTATCATTTCGAAGAATGTCCAAAAATGTCGCATGAT